TATATATATATATATATATATATATTTGAGGCCTTGAATATTATTAAAATTAACTCTTCAAAAAAAAAAAAGGTCATGTACATATAATAAGTGAGATAAATGAATGACGCCAATACCAATCCTTCTAAAGAATTTGAAGTAACATTCTTTTCAAAAAAATTGGAAAAATCATCTATCACAATGCAAAAAATATATGGAGAATGAGAACCATGCCGAGTTTTGCTAATCATTTAAGAAACCAAAAACTAAATGGTAGTTATGATCAATTTATTCAGATTAAATAGTACCTAATTTCCCATGAATTTATTGCCGAGCTCTTCTAAGCATTTAAGCCAAAAATGATGAGCACAAACAAATCACCAAAGGTAATATAAATCTATAAGTCTATGACAAAAGATAAATTTAACAAGTAAGAACATAACATTTACAGACACATAAATCTCCCAGTCATATAAATCAGAAATGCAAAACTAAAAAGTAAAGAGAAAAATCACAGTAATATACATTATTTATGATCCAAATCTCAACAAAAGCTTAAGAAAACAAATTGTAGGCAACCTGAGCTTCACTCTCTCCTACTGCAGCAATCATACCTTCCACGTAAGTATTAATTTTGTTTAGAAGACCAATAGGATGGAATTTATCGCCTGACCTCGGCCTACAGAAAGAAACCAAGAAAAACAATTTCCCCTAAACAAGATCATATAGGACTTTTGAAGCACCCTATAAGAATCCCAAATCTTAATTGATAGTTATATTTCTATCACATATAGGATGTTTAAAACTCCAGTAGTAGTAAACACCTTAATCAGTGCCTTAATGCTTAACTTCATGACTAAAATGCAAACTTATCCCCCCTCTAACAAAACCTTGCCTCGCATGCCCGGCAAAGACTCTTTTCATCAACCTCAGCATTGATGATCACAGCAATCCAAAGCATTCCAACAAACACTTGAAACCCAGAAATATCACCAAGATCATGTTTGGATGCAAGGAATATGGGTGTTAAGGACATGAAAATGAATTCAAAAATCTGAATTCAATGGCTGTTCGAACTTTAATTTGATTTCTCTCACTTCCCTTTATCTAAAACATAACCCCAAATATTCCAACAAAGTATATTTATATCTCATGAAGAAGAAGATGAAGATTCGAATAGTGAAATCCTGCGCTTCTTGCCAGGAAAGCAGGCATTTGGCAGTAAATCCATGGAACTAGCCCGGTAAAGTACAGATTTGAGAGCCTGGTGAATAGTTGTTATCAATAAATGCCTCTCAAGATCATTATTAAGTCCTTCACCAGTCATCACAAAGACAAATTTGACTCTGCCACCAAGAGATGAGATCTCAGCACTTATAGTCTTTAGCTGTAAAGACTCCAGAGTATGCTTTAAATCTGCTAGAAGTCCCAGACGGTCATCACAGCAGAAGGATGCTTTGATTGATAAGCTGTTGTTGCTTGCACCCACACCATCGACCTCAACCTTCAGTTCGTCAGTGTCAGATGGAATGGTACAAAATTTCCCAATCTCGACAGCATCACTCTTCAAATTCTTAATGTGGTTAATCACTTCAGCAAGCAGCCCAGCTTTGTCCAACTGAATAACATAAAGAGTTAGACTATCCCTCTTATCATTTTAAAAGGATTGAACTAGCAAATTGTTCCTCAGCATTGCAAAGAGAAGAAATTTTCATCAATGATACAAGGAATGATGAACCAAAGAAAATCAAATAAACAAAGGGAAGGAAAAAAAAACTGCTTTTGTACACATTTGGGCATGCAGCAGATGAAATTTATTCAATTAAAATGGAAGTACTAAAAGATAGGAATAGGAATTCGTGTCAGGAAGAAGAAACATGGTGTCATAGTCTATCAATTAGCCATAGCAGTTTCAACTCCCCTGTCAATAGTAAAAGCTAACAGTTATGCAAAGTTCTTTTTACTAGATTTGATTCAAAAAAATGAGTAACAAACATAATTTTTTCGAGGACTACCCTCAAGAAAAATGTTTTACAGAGAAAATATATCATGGAAATTACAACAAAAATATCTTTCTTTATAGAAAAAAATGACAAGATAACACCATAAAATTTAACTAAGGAATGATTCATCCATACAAAAAAAATACTCACAATGAATGCTTCAATAATAAATAAGAACAAAAAGTCAATGCTATGAGCAGATTATAAAAAATTTTCAAACTCGCTTACTTGAACTAAGATCCTAAAATAAGTTACCTCAAAACCAGCAGTAAGTAACACAGAAGGAGAAAACCAAATATCTTGCATCATAAATTCCATCACTAACTACTGTGGAACCCCTTCATCAAACTTCTGAAACATGGTGCTTATATTTTATTTATTTTTTTTATTTTCATGTATTGGGATGGGGGCATGAATTCACACAAGCACACTAGCGCATACTCTACAGAACATAATAAATCTAAAAATCTTTGAGAAAAGTGCCACAAATATAATTCGAATGAAACAATCTATGAGCTACATTTTGTGTTCAGATTATCTTCACAATAGCTGATCAAATACCTAGATGAATGGATCAATTGTAGACAGTCATGTCAAAAAATTAACAGAAGCACCAAGAGAACCTAAATTACCAAAGTATAAATCTCAAAACACCAATTGTTTATCCTATAAAGACAATGCATTAGAATTCAGTATTGTTTTGAAAAAAGTCGCCATTAATCTTCTTAAGAAACTTTGTTGGATTAGCATTATGACAACTAATATAAACTAACTTAGAAACTCCACAGATGCTCTCGGAATTTATAGCAGTGTTTTTTTCTTAACAAAAAAGTCCCAAATAAAGGAAGCCCCCCTACCTCTGCAGCAAAGTTGAGCAGTAATCTTCAATTCAAAAGCTCCTCAAACATTCCATCTCCATAAAAAGTAAAAGCAGAAGATTTATCTATGGAAACCACTCAATATGAAATGCAATAATTCTAGAAGACTGACTAAAAGTAAACCCAGGCAATCCATTAATTAATTTATCAGTTAAGAATGTCTCTTCCAGAATTTCTCTTCCGAACACATCTACCATTTAAAAAAAAAAAAAAAAAAGTAATAACTCAGCTCATCCCACTAGATAAAAACAAAAGCACACCAAGATGATGAAAAAAAATAACACAAAACAACTAAAACTCTGCACTTCCGTAAACAAAAAAGTAAACCAAACAAGAGATTCTGGGCGTAAGAAAACAAAGGGACTGACCTTATCAGCGCACGGAGTCATCCTCCTGAGCGTAGAAAGATGGCCATTAATCCTCTCCCTCCTCCTCCTCTCAGCCTCGCTATGACTCTTCAAAGCCATTGCTGACCTCGCATCAGCAACGCCTCCTCCTCCCCTCTTCCCCAGCTTAACCGGCGCTTGAACCAGCTCACCGCTCTCCCCATCCAGAATTAATGCCGCTACAGACGAAGTACCAACACGAAACATACCACCATCCAGAAATCCCCCAAAAGCCCTTATATCTCTAAGTGGAATCGGATCCATCTCCCCACCAGGACCCCGAAGCAAAAACTGAAACCACCGCAAAAGAATCAAATAACAGAAAATCAAATCTTGCAGAACTCACGAACCCGGCGGGCGGCTGCTAGGGCATAACCAGATTAGACTAGGGCGACTTAGCTTTCTGACTTCTCCGTCTACCAGCTCGCTATTTGATCCATCTCTTCTCATTCTTCTTCCACAGATCCTTTCCATCACGCGGGGGATAGTCGGAGATCTGATAAAAAAAGATCAATAAGAGAACGGTATCATCTTTGCTCTCTCTTCGAATTCAATCATCCCTTTTCTTTATCACTTGATCGTTCCTGGATTCGGTCAACTTCTATGAAACCCCAGAATCTCCGAGTTAATAGAAGCTGTAGCCGGAGAAAGACGGCGACCTTTATTGTCTGGGTACCCGACAAATCGGCGAGAGGAGTCTAGCTCCAGGAAATGGAGGTACATTCAAATGAGAACGAAGAAAGGCATATATATTTGGCTTGGAGTGGGAAGCAAGGAGCTGAATTCTTTAAGATTTTTAATATCTGAGTAGATAAGATGGGGGGAAACTTTGAGCATATGGTGATTAAATAAACTTGTTTTTATATTTCCCCAGTTTTTAGAAGAACTATTTTTTTAATTAAAATAAATACCCTAATTCAAAAGAAGTTAATTGTTGAGAGCAAATATAAGAAATTTTGTTGCGTGAAAAAATTGGGGTTAGGATATATTATGCATTCAGGTGGCACGGATATTTCTAAAAATATGTCATCTCACGGGTCATAACGGAAGAACACTATATAAGACATTCTAAAAATGCTATTAATTTTTTTTTCAGGCACGAACAACCGTGATTCCCCCAGACGGTGCTTAGAAATGAGCTTAACGTGATATGTGCAAAAAACTAGACATGAGAAGTAGAAAGTTATAAATATACAAACAGCCCAAATTTTATCACATAACCGAAGTCGTCTCCTTTCTTATCATATCAAAGCTCCCTCTAACATTAGTTAAAATTGAGCATAGAAGGTGCATCCAATATTCATTGAAGCTCATCATTAGTAGTTCACACTTTATTTGTCGACGCCGAGAATTAAATGTACATCTAACATTCGTTAAAGCCGAGCATTATAGTTTAGTTTTGTTCATTGAAGCAGAACCTACACCAGTCAAAGTAGAAATCGTAAGCTTCTTTGTCGCAACCTGAAAGGAGTTAAACATATTCATTGAAGCTGATCCAAATATCTCACAAACTTTGTGGTGATTGCACCAAAGCTTCTATTCATTGAAGCCAAGTGGAATCAAAGCTGCCCTAGTATTGCTGGTTATATATATATATATATATATATATATATATATATATCA